GGAGGGGGACGTGGTCGGAGCCAATCCGGGTGATGGCCCGGAGGGAAGCAAGGGAGCAGCGGAGGTCCCATTCCGGGGAAACTAGGACCCGGTCCAGGATGGACTAGGTGGGGAGGCCTGGCGATTGGTCCAGGTAAATCTGGCACCAATCCTATCTATCTCATGGAGACCGAGGTCAGCAATGCAGTCATTAAACATCTGCATCCGCGCCAAGTTAACGTTCGAGTTGCTCTTGTCCTCCACGAACCGGAGGAGGTTAAAGTTGCCGCCAACCACCACCGGAAGCGAGGCCGCCGAGACCTTCCGGTGGAGCTCCTCGAGGAAGGAGGCCGACCTACTGTGGTCAGCAGGGCTGTAGACGATGATGACCTCCCACTTGAAGTTAAGCGCCCGCTCGAAGAGTTCCATGCTAACAAAGAACTGGCCTCGATCCATGCTACCTACCTCGAAGGTGGCATCCTTCACCCCTAAAAGGATGCCACCCGAATGGCCAGTGCTCCCACTAGAAGGGAGCCAATGCCAAGCAAAGAGATGGGAGCCTCTCTCTCTCTCTCTCTCTCTCTCTAGTCTGAAAGAAAATCTCCTTTTTGTTTAAGGGCCTACAAGGTGTTCGATGAAAGAGCCTGTACTTGTGTGATGTTTATACTTTATATTCGTATAAGTATCTTAATGCAACTTGTAGCCTTGACATTCTAATTTAATTCTATTCATTATCTTCAATTTTTCTTTCAGAGGATAATGCCCAACTCATTTGATGGGTCACTTGACTTCTTTACGGTTATGCCACCTAATCTGTTGGATATATCCAAGGATGAGGAGCACTGCTTATTGTCCCTTTTAGTTGAGTATTTAGAGCAATGTGAGGGACATTGGGACCCAGAGAGAGTTCCAGAATCAATGTACAAGCATTTGCAACTACTGCTTCATATCATGTTGCATTTACAAGTTAATATCATCTGTGAGCAAGCGTACACTTTGGCTAAAGCTGTTGTGGCAAGTTCTGGTGCGTTTGATGAGAATTTTGCGGAGATTGATGCATGGTTTGGTTTTCTTGCCTGGTTGTGAAGCCAAAATTGTGTGTAGAGCCTAGAAGTTCGATTATCTAATAAATTGGCACACATTGTGATCCCTTTCATCTGCGATGTTGTCTCAGTGGTTGGGAACAATCTGTACAAATACCAAGAGCACATGCGGAAGTTCATCTTTTAAATCAGGCCAACTTGAAGGTACTATTTTCTTTGGTGACATGAATGATAGTATTACGCTTTTCTGAAATTCATCTCATATGGTTTCACTTTCTTATTGATCATTAGCTGGTTTGCTTGGTTGTTAGGTTCCATCTGATCTGATACAATGCCATATATCTATGTTATCGGTACCTGTAGGTTGTGGTGCAAAACAACATGGAAAATAGATGGCTGATTTTCAGTAAACTTTTCACGCGTCACCTGAAATTCAAGGAGTTGAGAAACTAATATTTGTGTTGTTCTGTGCTGACATCCTCATACGACCTTAATTCCAAGGTCCTTAGTTGCTTAATTACGTCCGCTTATGTATCTTCGTTTTGGTGTCTCTGGATTATTATTAGTGCAGTTCAGTAGTAGTCATTCTTGGCACTGCTAAATTCTATTTGGAATGCCGGCATAAGTACTAAAACAAAAACAACCTTATATAACTTCTTGTGCATCATCATATGCGTGTCCGGACCACTTCAGGGAGGCATGTTGTGGAAGCATCAGGTTGAAGGCTTGTGCTAAGTGGGAGATATGGTGAAAGCAGAAAAGGGGAAAGGCTCCAGATTGTTGGATTGGGACTCTGCATGGAAAATGTTTGTTGGCTTGACAGGCTAGGATTGGGCACTTCTCTGGGTTGCTCTTTGCTTATACAGGCAAAAAGTTATATTGCATTTCCACTGACTACAGTTCATCTCTACATTCTAGCAAGTATGTTAATTGAAGAGCTTTTCTCATTGTCATAGAAGATAATTTGATAGATTCAAAACATATCTATCTTTTTTTGCTAATTTCTTTGTTTCTTAAGTAGATGGTAATTTCTTTAAAAAAGGAAGTAGGATGGATGTTTATATAAAGAGAATTTTTGTACATGGGTACCTTTATTTACTGTCGTTTGGAGTGAAATAATAGCAAGTTCTAGAAATTAGAAGGATTTCGATGCTAATCCTGAGACACCAAAGGATTGCACTATTAGTAGCGGTCTGAATGTAAGGAAACAAGTTGTTTTACGGAAGATAAGAATATTTATCTGTTTGTGGTGATAGAATATCTTTTTGGGTTTGTAAGACACTAAGACTATGGTGACAACTACATATCTCTGGATTAGGTTGACGTTTACCTAATGCCCATATATTCTGTCTTGTTCATGTTTCATGCAGGTTTCTCTGTGAAGATTTGGGTTGTTAGTGATGTTCAAGTCCAATGGTATCCTGCATAAATGCACTGCTATGTTGGTTTCCTCAATCCAGATAGTTGCATGGGTGTAGTCACTTGTGTATAAGCAACAAAATATATTGCACTTCTACTGATCATAGTTCATCTCTACATTCTCAGCAGGTATGACATACCGCACTTCTTGAAAAACTACTTACATAAACATATGTAAGGCACGCATACATTTCAGTTTTGACACATTCGGTTTGCAGCATGCTGATGTTGTTGATCACGGATGGAGCCATTAGTACAATGAGTGCCGCCATTGCGCTGCTCTCTTTGGCAATCTCACGGCTTCTCAGGGTTGAGTGAGGCAAAGAGCCCTCGATGTGCAGCTCTTGCCTCTCTTCTACTGCACCATCCATCACAGAGCAGGTCAAACGCTCAGCCAGCATAACCATGTTAAGGAAGGGCACCATATATCTTTCCAATATTCAGTTAAAAAAACTTTTCTTGCATAAATGTTGCTGGGTTGTTTCTGAGGTAAGATACGTACCTTGGATATGATACTCACTTTGCTGGGTCTCATGTACGAATATTATTTCTACAGGAACACATTTTCTTGTCCTCTGTGCACATTGATACATTGTCGGTCCCTGATTTTGGTGAATACTGATTATGTCTTCGCTTTTGTACTACTGCTGCTATCATGTCAAGTTATAAATCGTCTCTGGGCCTAATCTATTATTTTACATTATCAGATCAAAACAATTGTCTTCCGATTTATCCATTTGGGAATCAATTCTTGGAATTTCCTGCTGGAATTCCTTTGGTTTCCCTTTATTGTCTTCAGACAACTCCTTCTCCATCACCTCCGTTGTTTGCTTCAAAAACAGTAATCACATGCCAGCCTCTTATGGTGTGTCCTCTTCAACATTAACAATAAAATCTAATATTCAACTTTTCTGTCTGATTAAATATTGCCTGTAATTTTGCATTTTAGATAAGAATTGCCTCATTCTTAGTTGATGGAGTTGCGCCTCACAGTGCCACATTTGCTGACTCCTCGGTTAACAGTTTGTCGTGTACTCTCAAAGAGTTTGATCTATCAGTTCCATTTGATGCTGAAGAAATTGTAAAGTGCAGTGCAACTAGGACCGCTTGCTCCGAGTAATCATTTTCATCAGCAAGACTTCATGTAGAGGACCTACACTTTTGTGAATCACCATCGGCAAAGTGTACACTGCTAAACCTTGACAAAGATACCGCTTGCTTCCTTTTTAGATATACATAACGTTAAGATTGTTCTTTTTTTTGCTGAATTTGATTACTTTTGAACAAGCCACCGTATGTAATGTAGCTTCTATATAACCTGCTGCCACTTTCCTAAGTTTGATCTGCTTCTAAATCCATGGTTTATCCTGGCTTACTGCTGCCTAATATGCACGTGATAGTATAAACAGGACAGTGAAAGGGGCGCCTCCCACCTGGCACCGCCCAACTTCCACTCAGGCGGCGCCACAGTTGGCGCCCCAACCGCTAGTTGTTGTGAAGCTTAGCTTGTATGAGAGTCATAGAGAAGCTGTGGTGTCTTTTTAAGCTAACAAGGCGAACCATATTTCCACCAAAGATCTAAAGACCATCACCACGCTAGTCCTATGGGAACTGTGGAAGCACCGCAATGCGATAGTCTTTGATGGAGAAACACCGTCACTTCAGCTGCTGCTCCGGAACATCGAGCGCAAAGAGCGGATTTGGAGGCCGGCGGGACTCTTGAAGAGTGATCCCGACTCCTTTGGTAGTATTGCTAGGCGGGTAGGCGGCGAGTAATCCCTTATAGTGTTATCATGTGGCGTGGAGGTCCACGGACCTTGTAAATAATATGTAAACCTTGTGGAGGGTTTCTTCACCCTTTTCTTCTGCAATATATGATATGCACACTCGTGCATATTCTAGAAAAAGGATAAAAAGTAAGTTACCCTTGTACATTTGTAAGTAATTTGTAGAAGGCTGCATGCAACTTGCGCAGTTTGTAGCTGTGGACAAAACTGTCATTTCATTGGAAAATGTAGCATTGCTGATGGTTGTGCATGACTCACTTCATACCATGATATGACTTATTAGTTCATCGAAAAATAGAAGAGACCTGGACTCTGTCTCAATATTTAGTTTCTTCTCTTATGTTGCTTGTGGCCATCTCTTGTTTTTTATTAGCACCCTAAATATTTCCCACTGAGAAACATTGTTTTAACATTTCTAGTTTGAGGATATTCCCCGCTTCACTCTTTTGGAAGGAATGAAGCATGAATTTTATTTATCCAAGTACAGCTAATGCCAGTACAATTTAGTGATTACTATTTGGTTGCCTGTCGAAGCCAATGAGTTCTCTTATCTTTATATCTAAAACATAACGGAGCACCAAATTTATGAAGGCTAATTGGCTAATTAATCAAAAGGAGAGAAGAAAGTGAAATAATATTTTGTTTGTAAAATATTGCAGCATGCATCTTTATGCTTTTGTTTTTGATCAACATGTGTTCCATGGCTTTATGGCAGATTTGAAAGTGATATGCTTTGTCTTTTAGGGTGTTACTATGGGGTGGAGGAAAGGAGAGGAGAGAGGAAAGATTTGAAAGTGATATGCTTGCCTTTTAGGGTGTTACTATGGGGCGGAGGAAAGGAGAGGAGAGATCAAGGTGCTGTTTGCAAGCGATGCAAAACTTACATGTATAAATAGTTTCACGTCTCAATATTTCCATACAAGCCCTCAAAGCGCCCTTTCCATATTTACATACAAAAGGATCATTGCCAAGCAAAGATGACTTGACTCCATTTTTGGCACACTCGTCTCTCATGACTTCTGAAAATAATTGCAACATGGCCATTCGTTGCACATCCCTGTTCGCTATATGTATTCGTCTTCATCTTAGTTCATTGTGAATTATGAAACTGTTTTTCACATGAGATATATTGGCTACAAAAAACGTTGAACAACTCTATGACTTATTTTTAAACAGGGGAAATATGTCATGAGATGAATTCTTGGCGCAGGTGCGAGTAGTTCAAAAAGGATCTATGGGAGATTCCATGGAAGTCATGCTGGAAAGAGGCGAATTCTATGCCAACCCTGCTGTGTGTATATGTGAAGAGACTAAAGATGGCCCCTCTACTGCACGAGAGAAGAATTCCAAAGATGATCCCACCGGGACAGAAGAGGTGATTGATATTGGGGCTGGCGGTGATTCTTTGGTCAGATTGGAGGTTTGTGAGCTGGAAGTCATCCTGATTAGTTGAGATATATTGCAGCTCAGACGAATCAGTTAAGTTATTTGCATACTAGTGGTGTATGTGGTATACTAAAAATTCAGAGAATTTCTGATTTTATTTGGATGGATTTTGGTTTATGCATGAACTGTACTTCTTAATATACTGGATCTTATTTTGGCTTGCAATGGGTTTCACTGAATTTTCATTGGAAACAGAGAAATTCAGAGTCTTTTCTCTTTATTTCCAGATTACACAATATTTCATATTTTATTTTTGAAAGGAGTCAGAGAAACAACAACATATTTGAATTCTTTATAATAATCAAAGAAGTACGTAGACCTCCTTTGAAAACATCCATGTGTATTTCATATAGAAAAAATACATTGCACACTGATCCTGTAGACACTAGATCCTCTCAATACAAAACATGTCAGCATCTACAATTTGATCACTACACCACTGGCTTACGACTTACTACATCCTTCATCTTTTTTTGTACACTAAAAAACAAGACTTCCTACATCCTTCATTTAATACAACATATTGTCCTTCTAATCAGAGCTCCTGAATCCTGTATAAGCGAGTTTTTCTGTTAGAGAGGAACCTCACATACTATCATATCAGAGAAGAACCAAGACACATTATCATATCAGAGAAAACCAAGACACACACAATCATATCAGAGAAGAACCAAGACACATACTATCATATTGTAGGTACTATAATGCCACAAAATTGAACGGATGGAACTTAACTCACGCAGAACACTGAGGATGAGAACTGAGAAGGTTCCTTGGCATTCATAGTATTCAAAGAAATAGTGCATTCTGAATTGGCATATCAGAAATCTTTTTGTGTGGGGTCTATAGCCAACGAGATGATCCAGTAGACAACCGCAAGGCAAAATATTGGAGGATACAAACAGGAAGAATATCCCAAACCAAGAAATAAACAAGATTTTTCTCGGATACACTCAACAAAGACACTTGTTGAAAAGCCTATCACAATCTGCTGAAAAACACGCACTAATTAGAAGAATAAACTTCCAGTGGTACTTCTACAAGGAAATTTGACAAGCATTCACATCGATCAACTTTATCGACCGAATATTTCAAAAGGTAAATGCATTGCAACCCAATCAAGTATTCACTATACATCATGAAAAAGATGGCGGTTAAATCTTTGCCTTAAAAAAAGGGCAGCCCGGTGCATGTAGCTCCCGCTTGCGCAGGGTCTGAGGAAGGGTCCGACCAGTTTGGGTCTATTGTACGCAGCCTTTCCCTACATTTCTGTAAGAGGTTGTTTCTGTTGAATCATAGATGGGCTTTAGGCCCATATGAATAATGATTCCTGATTAATCTTGAGGCTCATGTAAGTATATGGCAGGTGGTGGAAAGTTTAGTACCACCTGCTAGTTGAGGAGAGTTGAGACCCCTTTATAAGGGTTGCTCTAACACTTGCCATTGGGAGCTTGGGAAAAGGAGTGGTACACACGCGCTCCTCTTCCTCTGCCGTCCGCCTCGTCACGACGCGTGCGGGTTGCGGGAATGAGCCAAGCCGAAGCTTATTTTTGCCGGTCAAGAAAGAATTAATTAACCCAGGATTAATTAAGAGCTGGTTGTGTTCCCGGGATACGTCGGCTCCCTTCACGGGTGTGCGTCGAATCGGTCGTGGGCCTCCGCCCAGGCCCATGACGACGGCCTATATAAGACGGCTCGCCAGTGGAGTGACCTAGTTTAGTGCACTCACTCCCTCTTGCGTAACCTAGCTGTCATCTATTGTTCCTCACTCTGAGCTGCCTCCGGCGATCCCATCCCGACAACCGCGTGCACGGTTGGTCAGGAGAGCAAGTGCCTCTGGAACCCTGTTGTTCGAGATCCTGCTCGGGAGAACGGCAATAAGGTTTTTGGGGAGCGTCTCGACGCGACTGCTCCCGATCCGTCCCCATCTCCGTCTGCCTCTGCTTCCACTACTTTCCCTGCATCGACACCATGGTCAACGCCGCTGCCGCCAAGAAGAAGGCCACGGATGACGCTGAGGCTGCTGCTACCGCCGCCGCATTGGCCTGACCAACCGGAGGGTATGATTCGTTCATCCCTCATTTACTCGTACCTATGCTAGCCGTATATGTTCTGGTCATAGATGGTTCGATTCTATGTACTGTATGGGCTAGTATGCTTAGGTATCGACATGAGATGCATGCCTGACCATTTACTCGTGGATTAGTCTAATGAGAAAAGTTCTAATATTTCCAATAATCTGAAAACCTTATTTTAGGCACTTTTCGATTCAAGGCTTTGCTACTACACTGAAACCGAAAAAGTTTACCGGGACGCATTTTAAGCGTTGGCAGACAAGGACCACCTTGTGGCTCACAGCGATGAATGTGTTCTGGGTTGGTGGTGTGCCCCTCACAGAAACGATTGTTCCTCAACAGGAGAAGGCGTTTAGGGAGGCAACCATAGTCTTTGTGGGAGCAGTTCTGAGTGTGATTGGAGACAAGTTGGTTGACGCATATATTCATATGCGGGTTGCCAAAAACTTGTGGGATGCGCTCGAAGTTAAATTCGGCGATGCTGGAAGCGAACTCTATGCTATGGAGCAGTTCCACGATTACAAGATGGTTGATAATTGTTCTGTATTGGACTAGGCTCATGAGATACAGTGCATCGCTAAGGAGCCGGAGCTCTTGAAGTGTGAGTTACCGGACAAGTTTGTCGCGGGTTACATTATTGCAAAACTCCCTCCTGGATGGAGGAACTTTGCTACTTCTCTCAAGCACTTGAGACATGAATTCTCTGTTGAGGATGTCATCGGTCATCTCAGTGTTGAGCATAACTGAGAGCAAAGGACTCACACGTGAAGGGGGCGGAGGGTTCTTCTAGCACCAATGTGGTTCAGAAGAAC